TAATGCAATTTCTTAGGCCAAAACTTAGGACCCATCCACAATCCTTTTCTCTCTCTCTCTCTCTCTCTCTCTCTTTTTTTTAGAGAGAGTCTCATCTCCACCCTGGCTACAGTGTAGTGGCGTCATCACAGCTGACTGCAACCTCAAACTCCTGGGCCCAAGCAATCCTCCTGCTTCAACCTCTTGAGTAGCTGGGACTACAGGCATGCATTACCAAGCTCAGTTAATTTTTCTATTTTTTGTACAGATAGGATTTAGCTATATTGCCCAGGGTGGCCTCAAGTGACACTCCCATCTCAGCCTTCCAAAGTGCTAGGATTACAGGTGTGAGTGATGGGGCCTGGCCCACAATCCTTCTCTGTATCTCAAGCCCCATATCTGCAAGTTATACTGACTCTGCTTGGAAATACATTGGAATCTGACAACTTCTCCCAGCTTGACCCCTGTCTTCATAGTCTATGCCACTGTATATTTCTTGTTTGGATAATGACCATAGCCTTCTGAATATTCCCTATTTCCATTTTTGCCCCATCAGTTTTATTCTCTACAAAGTGTCTAAAAACACATAAATCAGCCTGGGTGCAGTGGCTTACACCTGTAATCCTAGCACTCTGGGAGGCTGAGGCCGGAGGATCGCTTGAGGTCAGGAGTTCGAGACCAGCCTGAACAAGAGGGAGACCCCGTCCCTACTAAAAATAGATAAAATTAGCTGGGCCTGGTAGTGTGTGCCTGTAGTCCCAGCTACTCAGGAGGCTGAAGCAGGAGAATTGCTTGAGCCCAGGAGTTTGAGGTTTCAGGGAGCTGTGATGATGCCACTGCACTCTAGCCAGGGTGACAAAGTGATAGTCTGTCTCAAAAAAAAAAGATGAAAAAGGAAAAAAAACAAAAAACAAATTCTTTTCCTACTCAAAGTATTTCAGTGAGTTCTCACCATACTTAGAATAAAAAATTCTTACAATGACATAAAAGTCTAGTAAATACCAGTCACAATGTCCTTCTTTCTATTCCTTGAACATATCAAACTCATTTCTGCCCCAGGGTCTTTACACTTGCCATTTTCTCTGCCAGAAATGCTCTTCTCAATGTTTTCATGGCTTTTCCATTTCCATCACTTAAGTCCATGCTCAAATACCACCACCTTCAAGTGGCTGGCCCTGACCGCCCTCTCAAAACCAGTCCCCAAATGCTACCCCTTATTATTCTCTTCCCATTAACTTCTTTTTCATAACACTTACCATTACCAGAATGCATACTATATAATTATTTGTTTCTCTTTTCTCTGTCTGTGTCCCTCACTAAAATAAATGTAAGTTGCATGGAAGCAAGGATTACTGTTTGTTTTATCCACCCCTCTGACCCAGTGCTTAGAACAATACCTTGCCCATACTAGATCCTCGATAAATGCTTTAAAAGGATTAATGACACATGTTACAACATGGATGAACCTTGAAAACATTACACTAAGTGAAAGAAGCAAGACACAAAAGACCACTTAGTGTATGATGTTACTTATGTGAAATGCTCAGCATAGGCAAATCTATAGAGACAGAAAGTAGATTAGTGGTTGCCTAGGGCTAGGGCATTGGGAGGTTTGGGGAATGATGGGTTAGGGGCACAGAGTTCCTTTTTTGGGGTGATAAAATTATTTAAAATAGTGGTGATATTGCATAACTGTGAATATACTACAAGCCATCAAGTGGTACACTTTAAATGGGTGAATTTTGTGGCATGTGAATTACACATTTCAATAAAGCTGTTTAAAAAAGGGCAAACTTTCCAGTTTCACATACCACTTCCACTTACATCCCATAGACTAGAACTTACAGCCTTGCCTATGTGCAAGGAAAGCAGACAATATAGTTCTTTATCCAAGACAACCATGTGCCCAGCTAAAAATCAGAGGTTTATTATGATAGAATGACATTGCAGAACACTGGCATCTCTGCCCACCCTTAGTGAGACCGTAGAGCATGTGAGTTCACCCACAAGGATCACTGGACGGACTTCTCAAGAACATGACACTTAATTTTAGGGAAACTGATCTCTTTCCCAGGGATGTGTTGGTTCTATGTCCTTACATATTTTGGATCAAAAATCACTTCATTTGGCAGTCATTCTTCACAGTTTTGTTTTTACAACTTTTTTCCTTGTTCAATTGAAAGTGGAAGTTTCTTTTATATTTTTCACTTATTTTGCTTTCAGTTGGTTTCAAGAGTTGGAAGTGGATTCAAAATGCCCTTTCCCACTATCTGTAACTTGAATTTGCCAGAATAAGTATTCTTGAACATATTTTCTTCTAAACTTAGCCCTGTACAATCCTTTGGGAGTTTCCTCTACTTTTTGCATCTAACCCAACCTCCAGGGCTGGATGTTCAATGCTGTCTACAAACTGCTCACTCCTCCTCTCGAGACAAACTCCCCTCACCATCCCCCTCCCCCACCCCACCCTATCTGCTCCAGTCACGCATCACATTTCTTTTTTTTTTTTGGAGACAGAGTCTCACTCTCTTGCCTGGGCTACTGTGCCGTGGCGTGGTGTCAGCCTTGCTCACAGCAACCTCAAACTCCTGGGCTCAAGCGATCTTCCTGCCTCAGCCTCCCAAGTAGCTGGGACTACAGGCATGCGCCACCATGCCTGGTTAATTTTTTCTATATATTTTTAGTTGGCCAATTAATTTCTATTTTTAGTAGAGACGGGGGTCTCGCTCTTGCTCAGGCTGGTCTCGAACTCCTGAGCTCAAGCAATCCGCCCGCCTCGGCTTCCTAGAGTGCTAGGATTACAGGTGTGAGCCACCACACCCGGCCACATCTCACATTTTGATAAAAGTTTCATATAAACTGTAGAGTCCTGTGCATCTGGTAGTTGTATTTCTTATCTTCTTATTGCTTTGGCTTTACCCCTTTGCCTGTCCCTTAGGGACAGCAAATGCAACCTGACTGAGTCTAAATGCAGTGTCTCTCCTCACCCCCCAGCCCCATAGCTGCTCCTCTTGGGAAATGGCACCACCTGTTGCCCAAGTCAAAAAACTGTGGGAGCCATTCTAACTAAGTGCTTCCTTCTCACTCCTGTCAAACCAAACCTTTACTTATTCAGTGTTCTGCTTGATCCTCACAGCTGGCCCTCGCTTGTCCCCTCTGCTGCTGCCACCTCAGTCTGCTCTGTCCGTCCTGCCTGGATCACTGCAACAGCCTCCCATCGGTCTTCCTGCCCGGGATTCCGCCCCCTGCCACTGCACATGCCACACTGCCACCACTGGGATCTTTCTTCAATGCAAACCACATCTTGTCTCCTCTTGCCTCTCCCTTCACTGTTTAGCTCATTTAATTGGTTCTCCCTTCTCCTCGGTTAAGTCCAAACTTCTTTACACGGCAAAGGCCCTCCAGGCCCTTAAGTCTCCGGCCTCCCCAGCATCAGATCTCCTCCTCACCGGCGCACTCCCTCCTCCTAGCCACACCCAGCCACCTGCAATTTTTCAAAAGCCTCTGAGTGTTTGAACATCTTCTCTCCCTCTGTTTGGAAAAGTTAGTTGATTCATAGTTGTGTTTCAAACATAAGTTCAAGCATCATTGTCTCTAAACCTTTCCGATCTCTTTCCCCTGGTCTGATTTCAGTGTCCTTCCTTTGTGTTTCTGTAAAATTCTGTGCATTCTGTGCAACTTCTCCACAAATGTTACATTGTGCTATAATTGTTGGCTTATTTGTGTGTCTTCCCTGATTAAAATATAAGTTACTGAAGGACAGGGATCCTATCTTATTTGTTTCTGGATTCCCCCAGCCCCTAGCGTATACATGGCATGTAACAGGTATTCTTGTTGAAAAGCAATAATAAATAATACACTATCTCCTCTGCATTTACATTTTGTTGACTTTAAAAAAGGGCAGGAAATGACTACGTGGAATTTCAGAAAACTAGGCTCTACCATATGCCCACTAACCTTACTCCAACAGGACAATCATTGGTTCAGTGGCATGTTGACTCAGGTTGCCCTCTGGCCAATGGAAAATGTGATGGCATGGACTCTGAATCTAGTCTGTGTACCAGCGTTGCCTAATCTGTAAATAGCCTGTACCAGTGTAATCCTCCTTGTCGGGAATAAACTGGTTATTTCTGAGTTTGGAAAAACTAATGTGATGTGTGTTTACTGACATGATATCAATGAGGATATCAGGGTGTCAGGCAGAAGGTTAACTGGGAAAAGGAGCCTGCCTCTAAATGATCTGGTCATTTAGCATGAAGAGACTACTACATATCAGACTTTGAGTAGCCCATTAACTGGGCCAGTAATGGGCTATGGGTCTAAATGTAGTAGGAGAACTATATTTTATTGATTCCAAGGTGCTCTTTATTTTACATTTTAATGTCTCTGAAACTGGAATGTACCTTAAAACAGATGGCATCTTAAATTTAAAGAAGTATAGCATTATAAGAAAATATAAGAGAAATCCGGCTGGCCACGGTAGCTCATGCCTGTAATCCTAGCACTTTGGAAGGCCAAGGTGGGAGGATTGCTCTAGCCCAGCAGTTCAGGACCAGCCTGAGTAAGAATGAGACCCCATCTTTACAAAAAATAGAAAAATTAGCCAGGCATGGTGGCACATGCCTGTAGTCCCAGCAATAGGTATAGCTGCAGTCTTGAACTCCTGGGCTCAAGCAATCCTCCTGCCTCAGTCTCCCTAATAGCTGGGACTATAGGTGCACTCCACCACCCCAGCTACTTTTCCTAAATTTTGTAGAGATATCCCTGGTAAAGGCCTTTTGTGAGCCTGGTCTTGGTGCTGCTGGAACACAGTTTACAAAGAACTATAAAGTCTGTAAAAATATTGTTTGTAACTTAGAGTTTTCAAGGCCTAGCTCCTTTTTGTGAAGGGATTTGTAGATTTAAAAAAATGTCCTTCCACTTTTTAGTGAGTAGTATTTCTGTTCTAGGCAGTATCTAAAATGAAGAAGTAGACTATTTCTGGGAGGGGGGAGAGGGTGGCAGGAAAACAATTACTTTGATTTGAATGGTTAAAAGAGAAAAGTTCTTCTTTTATCTGGGAATAAGGCGCAGCTTGTAGGGTGGTGGGATATTGATAAACCCAGTAGCGATGGGCTTGATATCTAGTTCCTTTGGATCCACCAGGGGCTTCAGGGAAAAGTTTTGCAGAATGGTGGTGAAGAACAGGAACAGCTCCATGAGGGCCAGGCTCTCTCCAACACAGGCCCGTTTTCCTAGGAGGAGGAAACACTTCTGTTAGTTTTCTTCATGTTCAGATTCAATATGCCTCTAAAAGCCATTGAAAACACTGATCAGAAAGGGACTCTCACAAACTACTAGAGGTCCATCTGTATAGTTTTTCTAGTGGAATATTTGTCGATACATAATCAAAACACTCCAAAGAAATTTTCACTCATCAATAATTCTCCTTCTGGGGATCTATTTACAGGAAATAGACATTCACCTATGATAATGTCACTTTGCATCATAATTTATGCATTGATGAATTAGATGAAACCTAGACATCCATCTACAATAGATTGGTTGAATAAATCACTGTGCCTCTATCATATAATGCAAAACCTAAATATGTTTATATGAAAGACTAATACCACAGACTTTTATCATAGTATACTAAGAGCAGCTTATCAAATGGATTGTACAGAATAAACCAAATTTTATTTTTAAAAATACATTATATATATTTAGACCTTTTAAAAAGTATATACATCACAGCTTAACTACCTTCCAAAAAAAATAAATAAATAAAAAAAAATAAAAAGTATATACAGTAAAATAATAACAGTGATTATCTCTGTATGGTGAAATTACAGATAATTTTTATTTTCTACTCTTTTTTGCTTTTCTGTATTTTCCATTTTTATATTGAACGTTTATTATCATTGTAATTAGAAAACATAATGAATATTAGTTTTGAAAATACTAATAAAATGAACGCATAAGACAACAAGGAAAAAGAACACATGCTGGCCAATCCTAAATCACATCTGCGTCCTTCTGGGACACTGTGACTAGGAGCCAAGCAGCTCTTGTACCGAGAAGAGATGTGTGTGGGGCTTCAAATCTCAGAGAGGAAGAAGGAAGATGCTGTAGCCCAGGCTTTGATGGCCTCTGGCTCTAAGAACCAGCAACTTAGCAACAGTTAAGAAAGAAACCTGAACACTTTGTTTTAGAAAAGTCAATATTAAAACAAGGAGATCAACAGAGAAGTTTGCAAAAGCAAATCCCTTTGTCATCTGGTAACATGTGACATATGAATTGGATCGACTGGCGTTGGTTTCTTTAAAAACTGGCATTATACTCAATTACCAAACAATCAAACAATCCCTGGATAGGACTTACCTATTGGTGAACAGACTTAAAGGGATCCACCCAGAATTGGGAGGTTGTAAGTTTGATCGATTGACTTTGCTGTTATCAGTGGATTACTTACGTGTACCATACATTCAGTGACGCTAAAAAGTTTGTCAAAATATGCATGTGTGTGGTCTGGATGGATTTATTTGTATTTACCAAGGGAAAAAGGCACGAAGTACTCTGTTTTCTTGAAGCAGCCATTTTTATCCAGAAAGTGTCCTGGGTCAAACCTCTCTGGGTTGGGAAACTCCTTGCAATCCAACAAGATCGAAGATAATGATGGCAATACAGTAGTGCCCTGGAATCGAGAAATGGAGAGTGCAGTGGCACTTTATTATGCTTAGTTTGGGTTCATAAACAAGTCGAACATGCTTGAGGACTGAGCACTTTTAAGCTTGCCTTATGAGTGATTTTCTCAAGTTATGGCTATTTTATACACACTATCATATAATACTTTTATCTAGTAGTAAGATGGTTCTCTGTGGGAAGATGTGCAATAACTTATTAATGTTGAAAACTTGGGTCTTGTAACCCATAGTGTCTAGATATGAGCTTTACTGGAATTGCTGCCTCAAATCAGAAGAGCCTGCTTTTGCACTATTTTTTTCTTTCTGGATTCAGGTGTGAATGAAAGAAAATGAGATCCAGAAACTTGGATTTATTGACTCAAACCCTCCCTTATAAAATGGGGCAGGGTAGCAATGAGAACAACAACAAACTTTCCTCCTTGCCTCATAAGATTTTTGTGAGGTGAGACTTAAATGACAAAATAATAATGATAACTACCACTTATATTGGACATTTCACATTTGTCTGACACTGAGCTTAGTTGTTTACAAATATCATTTAATTTTCATATTAAATATAGTAAATAGGTGCATTTTTTGTTCACATTATATAAATGAGAAAATTGAGGTTCAGAAAGAATAAATAGGCCAGGCACGGTGGCTCACACCTGTAACCCTAGCTTTTGAAAGGTTGAGGAGGATCCCTTGAGGCCAGGAGTTCAAGACCAACCTGGGCAAGAATGAGACTCCATCTCTACAAACAATAGAAAAATTAGCTGGGCATGGTGGCACGCACCTATAGTCCCAGCTATTTGGGAGGCTGAGGCAGGAGGATCACTTGAACCCAGGAGTTTGTGGTTGCAGTGAGCTATGATGACACCACTGCACTCTACCCTGGGCAACAGAGCAAGAATCTGTTTCCCAAAAAAAAGAAAGAAGGAAGAAGAAGAAGAAATTACTTGCCTAAGGTTATACTTTTGGGAAATGGCATAGTTAGAATTTGAACCAAATTCTATCTGATCATAAAGCACCCCTGTTTAAGTGAAAGTTTCCTTTTTCCATTTTTACTTTATTTTCTATTTCCTTAAACATTATTTGTACCATTATTGGAGCTGGTAATACATGCACATGGTATACAATACCAAAAAGTGTATACAAGGGTAAAAAGTGAAAATAAGCCTCCTTATACAGTGTACTCATCACCTTGTTATCTTCTTGATGTAATCATGTTACCAATTTATGATATATCATCTGGGAGATATCTTATGGATTAAAACACACACACACACACACACACACACACACACACAGCCCCCACTGTTTTCACAGAAATGGTATCATTCTATAGTGTTCTATAACTTAGTATTCTACTTTATATAAATATCAACTTTAACAGTCCTTTATTAATGGACATTCAGGGATTTTCTAGTCTTTAAATATCAAAAATATTGCTGCAATAAATATTCATATTTTGGGGAAAACACACACAAAGGATAAATTCCTAGTAGTGAAACTACTCTTCAAGTCTTATGTGTGTTTTGAATTTTGATAGATACTGCTACATTGCCTTCCATTGAGGTTTTACCAATTTGCACTATTAGAAAGAATATGGTTTTTTTTAAACATCCTGCCAACATATTAAAAGACAAATAAAAACATGTTCTTTTATAATTTTTATTTTCAATATATTTTATTTTGTGAGTATATTTTTACATGTTTAAAGAAATTTGCAATTACTTATAATTTGCAATTATTCAAATTTTAATTTTGTTTTCCTTGTGCTATATCTATTGGTTTGGGGGTTTGTTACTGACTGTAGGACTTCATTTTATTTTTCAGGAATTAATCTTTTGCTCTTATATGCTATGCAAAATTTTCTCTCAGTTTGCCATTTGTCTTTTTCATTTGTTTCCTTTTCTAGGCAGATTTTTATTATTTGCTTGTAACCAAATTCATCCATTTTTGAATTTATGGCCCTCTTGTTCCTCTTTTCTTTGGTCTATGTTAGAAAATCTTTTGTCACTCCGAAATTTAAAAAAAAAAATTGCTTTTATCCCTAGTGCTATTACAATTTAATATTCTATGTGCCCATATTTAAGCCACAAAGAATAAATTTTCTTGTAAGGTGTGAGGCAGGAATCTGTTATTTTTTTCCCTGGGAGTTTTCCAACCTCTATTAAATAATCCATATTTTCTCTCAAGGTTAAAGGCAAAAGGTCACCTTTATCATGTAGCAAGTTTCCATATATAATAAGGTTTATTTCTAGATTTTATTTGATCTGTCTGCTTATTCAAAAAGCTACAATATATTGCTTTAATAACCATGGCTTTCTATTATGTTTTAATATTTGGAAGGATTTGTCCTTGATTATTCTTTATTTTTAAATTTTCTTTTTTTTTTCTTTTAATTTCATTTTCTTTTTCTTTTTTTTATTTTTCAAAGTAGAGACCTGAAAATGAGTTTCTATTTTTAAATTTTCCATATTGAATTTGGGATCTGTTTAGTCCAGAAAAATATCTGATTGATATTTTCATTTAGATCTTATAAATGTATAGGTTGATTTTGGGATAACTTCTATCTTCCTACCCAAGGAAAGAATAAATCTTTTAATTTATTCAAAATTTTATATCTCTCATTAACATCTTAAAATTTTCTTTCTTTAAATATTTCAAGTCTTTAAAATTCTAAAATCTTACAAATTTCTCTTGGCATTGTCTTCTGAAAATGAAAAAAAAACAACAAAATAAAATCTTGCAAATTTGTTATGTTTATTCCCAAATATTTTATCCTTGCCATTTTTATTAATGAAAACTTTTCTTTATATTTTTAAAAATAGTTTTTATTTTTATATAGTTTTTATTTTATATAGCACCTGACTGATTTTTTTTTACTAATAAATTTGTACTCAACCACCGTATATTTCTTATTTTGCAATGGTGCTGCAGTTAATTTTCTTGTGTTTTCCAGGTACAATTATATCATCTACAAATTTTGCTTTCATCTTTTAAATTCTTTATCTCTTCCTACTTTTTTCTAATTCTAGTTGAATAATATCGGTAATGGTGGATAGCCTTATCTTATTACTGACATTAATGGAAATGCTTCCAGTCTTTCATCAATAAACATTATCTAGGAGATATATTTTTTTTGGCCAAATGAGGTATTCATCTATTCCTATTTTACTAAAGGTTAAAAAAAAATCAAGAATGGATGTTGAATATTATCAAAAGCATTTTCTGTACATGAGGTTATCGTGTGATTTCTTCTCCCCCCAAATTCGATTTATACTGTGAATTTTCTTAAGGTGGATTTCCAAGTGTTGAATCATTCCCATGTCCCTGATTATCTTCCTGTGTTAGTGGTGTAGTATTTTTAATATAATGCTGGACCGATGTGTTAATAAACTTTTGTGTTGATATTTTTAAGTAAGATAGGGAGTTGTTTCATTTTGCAGTAATTTGGTCAGGTTTGGCCCCTTTTCATCCTCCTCTCTGCTCTGGAGCTGTTTAAATGTAAAGCCCAAACCCTTAATCCCTGTGTAAGACTGACTGCATCCTAGTGTACATCTGTCAGGGATAGCAATGTCCCAAATGTCCTAGTAAAACTGATCCTGGGAGGAGAAGATTAAGATTAAAGGAGGTTACTGGGAATAGCAAGGGCCATAAACAAACAAACATACAAAAACCAGGAGGCGAGACTTTGCTTGATTACCCTAGAGCTGTAGGTATATTTTCCATCTCTTCCCCTCCCCCTCCTTTTTAAAATCCATCATGAAAAATTGGATTTTCATTCCCATGAGATTCTTTTTTTTTTTTTTTTTTTGAGACAGAGTCTCACTTTGTTGCCCAGGCTAGAGTGCCATGGCGTCAGCCTAGCTCACAGCAACCTCAAACTCCTGGGCTCAAGCGATCCTTCTGCCTCAGCCTCCCGAGTAGCTGGGACTATAGGCATGCACCACCATGCCCGGCTAATTTTTTCTCTATATATTTGTTGGTCAATTAATTTCTTTCTATTTATAGTAGAGACAGGGTCTCACTCTTGCCCAGGCTGGTTTTTGAACTCCTGACCTCGAGCAATCCGCCCGCCTCGGCCTCCCAGAGTGTTAGGATTACAGGCATGAGCCACTGCGCCCGGCCCCCATGAGATTCTTATTAATGGAAATCACTGCCCTCCCAAAACATTTGATATGAAATTGGGAAGGGGCCTTGGAAGCCCCAGGTCAGCCTCTCCCATTCTAGGAAGGCCGAGACAGGGTCCCAGAGGTGACAGTATGATCTGAAGGTGCACTGCAAGGCTGTGACAGATTTCAAACTCTGGGCGTGTGACCCTAGCCTCATGCTTTCTTTGACTCTCAATGTCCCTCTTGCACCACAGAACTGAGAAGCCCCTCATGGTCCCCACGCCAAGGTACCATGATGCCCCTTCTATCCCAGTCAGCGTTCTCAGACACATTTTACCTTGGGGATGATGTACTGTCTGAATTTTGTGTCCTGGGTCACAGCATGGGGCATATTAGAAGGAAGGAGGGTGATGTATCTTTGTATCTCATGCAACATGGCCTCTGTATAGGGCAGCTTCACCCTGTCCTTCATAGAGGGGATCAGGTTGCGTCCAATCACACGATCAATTTCTTCATGAACTTTGGCTGCAGAGACATGAATCATGAATGAGACCTGGAAATGCTCTAGAAATGCTTGTAATGTGCAACAGAAAGTGACCTAGAAAAGGCTCCCAAGGTCAAAGGCATGTTGTTAAGCAGGCCATTGCTCTGCTCCTGATGGGATTTCTATTCTCTGTTTTGCTGTAAACACCAAGGACTTTGCTGCAGGAAACACAAAGGCTGGGTCAGGTGTGTCCTCAGCCTCTTCCCTTAATTGGTTTGTTCTCCTATACGGGTGAGGAGACGATCTATGCGGCAGGGCTTATGGCCTATTCCCTGATTCCTGGCAATGCAGCTGTAGAAAGAAAATGCTTAATGTTCACTCTAGTGGGAGCATCTTCCTCGTCCACTTCACCTTCTCTCCTATGAGTTTTGTGGGAATGGTAAACACCATTTTTCTGAGCAATGTAAACACTGACTTCTTACAGCCCATGCTCGGAGAATATGCTTGAGATTATCCAGCTACTACAATTTCGTTTTTGAATTTCAATTCAAAACCATATCAGAGCTAAAAATCTGGGAAAATAGAAATCTGCAAGATGAGATAGCTTGTTTGAGGTCATGCGATCAGGCTCAGGATGAGAACCCTACGTGGAATCCATGTGCCCCTCATCCAATCAGGTCTTAGTCCTGGGTATCGCATCTCACATATAAGATTTGGCATTTAGAAGCTTCTCTCTGTTTTTAAACTTAAATGAAAGCTTTTGAGTTCTTAAAGGTCTCTTTTCCTCATCAGTACTATCAGACATAATTCTGATCTACAAAAGCAAAGCCACAACGAGTGGTCCTTTGCATGGTGTTTATGAAGCAGCTCAGAGAAAGTGAAGCATCATGGATGGCAGCATCATGAACCACACCCTCCTCCAGGCCAAGATCTCATCTTTTATTTGGTAGCTAGCAAATGTGCTGTACCTTCCACCTCTGGGTGCTTCAGTAGGAGCAGGAGCCCAAATCTCAGGGTGATACTGGTTGTCTCTGTCCCTGCTGTAAACAAACCACTTCCACAGACTGCCAAGTTCTCCAAGTTGAACTCAGACTCGGGGTTGAGTTTCTCCTGAGTAGGGTAAAGTTAATGGCTAAATAAGTTAGAGAGAAGGCAATGGCTTATCAAAACTCCACAGTCACACCCCTTCACTATAAATAAGACTCATTTTGCACACTGTAGAATGGGGAATAAAAAAATCAGCCATTGAGTTGAATGGGTTCAAATCCTAGGTTAACCAATGCACAGGTGTGTGCACTTGGCAAGTTACTTGATCTCCTTTCTCAGTTTCATCACTTGTAAAACTGGGACCAAACCCAGAACATATCCATAGGGTTATTACAAATATTAAAAAAGTTAATGGAGGGGAAGCTCTTAGAACAAGGCCTCACATATACAACTACTTGATGAATGTTCTCTTATTCTAGTTAATGAAACAAACTAGATGGTAAGCTCTATGTGACACAATGCAGAGAAGCTCACTGGTTCATGACTGGTCTGTTTCTATCACGTACACAGATATTGACACTCCCAGCCCCACCCACTTTCATATAACACTCACCATTATTAATAGCATTTCTGATATGAAGACTGTACTTGTAGAGTTGGACATTTTGACTCACAATTTTTTTACATGGGATCTACCACACGTGTAGAAAATAAATTGATCCAGGACTTAAAAATGGTGAGTTAGCTTTCTATTTTAAAACGACTTTATCAAAGAATAGGGATTGTCTTCTTTTGTTGTCATCAAAACAGTAAATGCGCTTAGAATTTGTTGAATAAATGAATGTTTAATGATATAAAATGAATCAAGTTAATAACAGCTCCCATATTTCACTATATTTAAATACTTTCTATTGCTGATTGCTTTTTGGTAGGCTTTTAATACCACTGTTTTTTTTGTTTTTTTTTTTTTTTTTTTTGAGACAGAGTCTCGCTTTGTTGTCCAGGCTAGAGTGAGTGCCGTGGCGTCAGCCTAGCTCACAGCAACCTCAAACTCCTGGGCTCGAGCGATCCTTCTGCCTCAGCCTCCCGAGTAGCTGGGACTACAGGCATGCGCCACCATGCCCGGCTAATTTTTTTATATACATATCAGTTGGCCAATTAATTTCTTTTCTATTTTATAGTAGAGACGGGGTCTTGCTCTTGCTCAGGCTGGTTTTGAACTCCTGACCTTGAGCAATCCGCCCGCCTCGGCCTCCCAGAGAGCTAGGATTACAGGCATGAGCCACCGCGCCGGGCCAATACCACTGTTTTTTAAATTTGAGGATAGTATGAGGCTACTTGTATTAAAAATTTATAAAGAAATATTTTTGAAGCTCTGAATTAAGTTTTTCTTCACTCAATTTCTTTATGCCAGGTTCCTCCTGCTCATTTCAAAATGGGATGATTTCTGCACATGAAAGTCCAAATTCTTAAGCACATTATCAATTCCTACCTATAGTCCTTCCTGCCTTTATCTAGAGTGAAGAATACTGAGCATTTAAAATAACTGCCTCATGGCCAGGCACATGCCTATAATCCTGTAAGCACTCTGGGAGGCTGAGGCCGGAGGATTGCTTGAGGTTGGGAGTTTGAGACAAGCCTGAGCAAGAGCGAGATCCCCATCTCTACTAAAAATAGAAAAAATTAGTCAGGCATGGTGGCGCACACCTGTAGTCCCAGCTACTCAGGAGGCTGAGGCAGGAGGATCGCCTGAGCCCAGGAGTCTGAGGTTACTGTGAGGTAGGCTGATGCCAAAGCACTCTAGCCCAGGCAACAGAATGAAACTCTGTCTCATTCATAAATAAATAAATAAAATAAAATAACTCCCTCACAACAAAAAGTCCAACTGGATATTATAAAAATCTTTGATGGTGAAGAGAGTTGAGGAGAAAATAGAAGTATCAATATATATTTTATTTATGTTCTGTGTAATCTAAGTAGGTTGGTCTCTACCATTCTATTTAACTCTTAAATTAAATAGAATTTAATTGTTAATACAACCCAGATCTCTTATGTAGTAAGGTTATAGAGATTTAATATTAAAATAGGATAGAATAAAACTTGCAGGAAAGTAGGGACACTTCAGAAGTTTCTACCCACATTCTATTGATAGTTATCTTACAGGAAACTAGAAGTGGAGAGGAAGAGAAGTAGGAATGGTTTGAAATTCAGACATTGTGTATCAGCTTTCTATTTGTTCTTTCCGCCAGCCTAGTCCAGTGGATCTCAAGGCTTTGTTATGCATGATAACAACCATCCAGGGTCCTCTCTCAGTGTCCCCTGAACTGATGAATGGCACTGACTTCTGTCCAGTTAGGCAAGCAAGGGATGTAGCACCTCATCTCTTGCATTTCCCAACTTACCACCAACACTGTTAATTTTGCCTCCTGTATCTCTCTCTCATATCTATTCCCTTCTTTACTTCCGCCACCAGAGCTGATGGCCAGCATCTCTTCCTTGGACACTCAATAGCCTCATGTGGAAGATGCTGGGTGTCCTGCCCAGGTCCTTTTACTGGCTCAGGTCAACCATCTCCCAGTTGCTGTGGCTCACACCTACAAGTTGCTCCGGAAGAGTTCCTTGGGGCATGGTGCCACGTTGCCAGGAGATGCCTGAGAGTTGTTGGCTCTCAACACCTCCACCACTGGGGTGCCTGTTGCTAGTGGCTTATGGGTGCAGGGGACAAAAGCCCAGCTCCCTTGCCTCAGGACATGGCAAACTGCGGTGTAATTTATACTCTAGAGCCTCCTGTAGGATCAGGTGGAGACTAGATTACACGAACCCACATTTGTGTTTATCTTTTCCCCCTTCCCTGTCCTGTTTCTCTCATTCACATACGTACAAGTTTCTCCTGATGTGCTATCTTCATAAATCACCTTCATGTGAATGCCTGTTTTACGCTTTGCAACTAGGAAACCTGATCTAAGATAACTCCTAGCTGCTCTCTATGAATCCATAATTGATCTCTCCAATCTGTCTTCCACATCACAAATATCATCATTCCTTATACAATGCTGAGACCCTGCAGAAAATTTCCATTGATTTTAGGATAGAAAGGAAGCTGAGTGCCGTGGCCTCCCAGGCCCTGCTGCCCTGGCTTTCCTCCCATGCTCACCCCTCAAGCACGCTGCCTTCCTTTCTCTCCCTCCTATTCCCAAGTCTCCTTCTGCCTCAGGGCCTTTGCACATCTCGTTCTCCTGCTTGGTTTATTTTTCTCTACCATCTTCACATTGATAATCCCTATTCATCCTTCAGTTCTTAGCACCATTTATTGCTTATGCAGGGATGGACCCCATGGGCCTTGGGTTAGAAGCCCCTCCCTGGCTCACATTAGTTCCTGCCACATTCTCCCAGAGCGGCTTGTACTTCTCCTCTTAGCATGTCATTGTTACCACTTGTTTTAATGATCTTTGTGCTAGACTATAAGCTCCATTAAGACAAGGTTTATATTGCTATAAATTAGTAAATTTATTCAAAACCTTTTTATGTGCACCCTTAATAGTCTAGACCTCATGCTAGTTGCTGGTAATATAAGGTATGGAAAATGCACAGTGCCCCAGCCCTCTGGGAGTATATAGTACAGTAGAAAATATAGAAATAAATTAAATAAATACTTCACTAAGCAGTGACAAGTGCTATGAAAGAAAATTACAGGGTATTATCTGACTCATCATTTTATCCCCAAGCAAGTCTGATACACAGTGGGTACTAAATAAAAATTTTGAATGATTGAATTAATAACCTGGCTATGTTTTTTATTTCTCTTTTCCAGAGAAACATCTAGTCCTCTAAGAGTCCATCAGAATGAATAGGATATTTTGATGTATCTCCTTGGTAAGTAGTATGATTTTTAAATGCCTCTACTGATTCCAGGGAAATCTGTGAGAAGTAAAAGGAACATCAACATGGCCTTATACATGCTTTCTAAGGGAACCAGGCCTCAGAGAGCTTAAGAAGACTAAACAGGTTACTATTAATTGCTTGATATAATTGGCATATTTATGATGAAATTGAATGGTATTTTTCTTTAATTTATATATATTTGGGGGACCTTTACATAAACAGTGTGAATTTTAAAGGCCTCAAAAAAGTATTTTCAGATTTTGAGTTGTTACCTGTGTTTAAACATTAAATATTTCTTTCCTGTCTTGTTGGAGTTCTTTGTTCAGCAGCATTCTGAGGACTGGTGGCTGTGCTATAGTTGTTATTCAGTATGTTCAATACCACTCATGGTTAATGCTTTAGAATCCTTTATCCAGTGCCAATTTCAAAAGCCAAAATTGTTTCTATGTGAAGACACAATCAGTTTTTTATAGTGTATTGGTCTAAGACACATTATCTGGGAAGGCACTGTAGCAAAAATGGCTGGCTATGTAAGTGTAAATGGTCTGCACAGAACATGCATGTGTTTTATCCACCCCCAGATAAATATATATTCAGAAACATACCACCTGTGTATATATGTGTATGTATATGTGTATATATATAATATACATATATCACATAGCTCATCTTAAATATGTACTGAGAAATTTAAATGCTAATTAATGTTCAAGGGTAGGAAGTAATAGAAATACAAAGAAAAAAAGCCTTTGGGCTATTTTTGAATTTCCATTATTAATAACAGCAATGTACTCCATTGCCATAAACTGCCAAAGCACCAAGAATTACCTATGTGGCGTGATTCTGCTTTCACACACTTTTGTGGAGTGATAAAATACTGTATCAGGGAAGACTCTGTACCTGCTCCATCTTGCTGAGGAAGCAATCGATGAAGTCCCGAGGGTTATTAGGGTCCCAGGACTCTTGATGTTCCTTCACTTTTTCCAGAATAAAATATTTAAGATCATTAAGTCTTTTTGAGAATACTCTGTGCTTTCCAGGGAGATACTTTATGAGTGTTGGCCACAAATTGTAAGTCTAAAAATGAAAACAAGACAAAACAAAAATACATCAGAAATTCAGTTTGTGAGGAGACCAAGTTTCTGAGTGGAGAGCCTAAGGTCTGTGCTGTGTGGCCAGGCAGAATCCCTCCCTCCAGTCCGCAAGTGGAGAAGGGAGAATGATTGTCACATGCAGAAGAGCAGCCCCTTCCATCTCCTTGATGTCCCCCCTTGGCCATCCCCAGCATCGCAGAGGGGACACTGTGCTCAGGGCCTTCAAAGAAACATAAGCAACTGGGAATGCTCTGGCTTCTTCCTCTGTGAGTAAATCCATAGGGGCAAACCGAGGGCAAACTTTCACGGATGCTGGGCAAAGTGACAGTGCACTCATTCACTCAACATGCAGGGAGGGAAGGGGACAGTGCTCGTGTTGGCACTTGGTTTGTAGGGTAGGTCAGGGCAGCTCAGGGCAGCTCACAGCCCTTTGCTCTGCCTGCAGACGACCAGTGGGCCATGAGATCAACCACGAATGCAGATACCGCTGTGGCCTCACCTGGATCCAACGAGAGTTTACTTCCTTAAAATTTTCATTTAACAAATCCATCAGAAAGAGGAATGTCTCATTCTTGTACTGGAAATGCTCATTGAAGAGGATGGAGCAGATCACGTTGCAGGTTGCGCAGGCAAGGACGAACGTGGGGTCAACGGGCTGCGCTGATGTGAGAAAAGAACAGCTCTACTGTTGCATTAGGATTTCAAGACCTGGGCCTCCCCCCCAATCAGATTTGTACATACAGTTCGTTTTCCTCTAAACTTCCCCAAATTAGGACATAAGCATCTTGTAATAACACTATTAATAATCATATGTATATATATTATATAATGATACTATTATAATTAGTAATATGTATAAGTATTATGTTATAGCATATGATATTATATGCTATATAGTATTGTACTATACTATTAATAATGTATATTATTACATGAATGCTATTAATATAGCAGTATTAATAGCAACAAGTAATATTATGGAGCATTTACGATATGTTGGATACTATGTAAATGTGCATACTATGTCATCTTCATTCTGAGGTTTGATTTTTAGCCCCACTTTTCAGATGAGGAAAATGCGTCTTAGAAAAGTTAAGTAATTTGTCCAAATTTACACATCTAGTAAGGACTGAAGTTGGGAAATGAAAGCAGACAGAGGATTTCAGTGTCCTGACTTAGAGCTTTGGAGACTGTTTTCTTCTCATCCCCTTCCTCCTAGCCCCCTCCCTGATGAAGAGTGCAGATGATGGGCCACAGTGACTCCCCAGGGAGGGGCAGGGATTGGGCACTGTGTGCAGGAAGTCCACTCGCCCCAGGGCACAGTCAAGGGAATTCACACTCTGTCTTCCTGAACTCCTCCACCAGACACCGGGCTTCTTCTTGCACCCTCTCCTCCATGCTTCTCTTCCCCATTCCAAAGTTCCTCAGGATCATGAGGGAGAAGCGTCGCATCTGCTTCCACCTCTCTCCATTACTGAAAAGGAGCCCTAGAAAAGAAGCAAAGAACAGGAAAGTATTTGTATCATACAGTCCAGCTTTCCCTAAAGCTGCCCGCCTATGTCCATCCTGAATGGTTTCCAGTGCCCCTTATCAGTGATTAACAGCTTGCAATACGAAAGCACATGTTCTGTAGTTTGGATCAAAATTTTTGTCATTAAAAAATAAAATCCAAGCTCTCTGGTCAACAGGAGGCAGAAATGGTATAATTGGACAAGGAATTGTTGGCAGGTGCAGAATATTCTCAAGTACAGAGGGTCCTCTGCCTGGTTTTGTTAAAGATAGTCAAAACAGGCCAGTCACAGTGGCTCACACCTGTAATCCTAGCACTCTGGGAGGCCAGGGTGGGAGGACCGCTTGAGCTCAGGAGTTCAAAGTTGCAGTGAGATATGACTGTATCGCTGCACTCCAGCCTGGGCAATAGAGCGAGACCCTGTCTCTAAAAAAATAAATAAATAAAAATAATATTTTAATTTTCATTTAGTTAAAAATATGTTTTAATTTCCATGCACCTTCCTCTTTAACCCAGGGTTATTTAGAAGTATCTTGTTTAACTTCTAAATACTTGGGGATTTTCCTGATAGCTTTCTGTTATTGATTTCTACTTTTAGTCAATTATGATTTGATAACATAGTTTATATGAAATCTATTCTTTCAAATTTGTTAAGGTTTTTTGTGACTCAGAGTATGATCTGTCCTTGTGAATTTTCCATTTACACTTGAGAAGAATGAGTATTCTGCCTTTGCTTCTGCTGGGCCTTTAGCATGGAGGTTTAGCTAATCTAGCCTGCAGTTTGCCTGGATTTGAAGTTTGTTACCTCTGGTTACTCTCAGTGCATCTCAGACTTGGATTTCCTATAGTGAGACCTTGCTTTTGTGTCCCCACTTGGCTTTGGGTATTCCCTTTGCACTGTTTACTGAAGAGAGACTGTCCTTTGCATCTCTTCCAGCTGTATTCCATTGTTGTTTTATTTTTTTATCTCTTATTTTTCTAAATATAAGCAGGAATACAAAATCTATTGTTATTTTTAATCGAGGCTTTTTAGTGTAATGGAGCGGTAGTAAGAAGAAGAGGGGTGCTCTCTTTCTCATTAACCCTCAAACTCACGCAGGTAATGTGAACCAAGGCCTCAGGGGTTGTGGCCTCCCCAAGTGTCCCTGCCCCTTCTCCAGAGGTAACGCTGGACACAAGGCCTGTCACTGCCTCTCCCCTAGTGCAGCAGATTTCTATCCAAACCCTCAGGCTAGAGTTTTTCTGTCCTTTGTCCTGCAGATTAAGCCTTTTGCCTCTTAAGGCAGGTGGGGGAGATGTCTCTGCATGGACTTAGAGGAGTCCCTGCCATGGCCAATGTTCCCCCCAACAAGCAGCACCATAAGCTTCCTCAGGACTGTGCCTGAGGGTCCCTGTGGGTATCTGGTAGTGTACTGGAAGAAAAGCCTGCAGGAGGGGGCAAACCTCCTCATGTTCCCTCACGTTTGTGGCTCTCCCCAGAGCTTCACTGTACTTGCTAGCCCCCACTTGGCTGTTCATTAAACATTTCCCGTCTAATCACCTTCTAAGGTGCTGGGGTGGCATTTGTCCCAGCCGAGCAAATGTTCCAGCCCTCTATCTCATTGTAGGCTCTTGTCATTCCTAGTTTCTAGGTTACATGCTTGCTCTGAAACCTCAGGTCTCTGATGAGTTTAGGAAAATTTGTTAATTTACTGTTTTATATATATATATTTTGTATAAGCGGACAATGCTCTTCTAGCTTTTTACTTCTCCAAACTCAAACTGGAAGTCCTCAAATTGTACTTATCATAACACTCATAAATATTAAATATTTTCTGCCAGTGGAAAGAATATTTTATCCAAATGTAATAGCAATTGGGTACAGAGACAGACATACACACAGAGAGGATGTCATATGAACATGAAGGCAGAGTTCATGGTGATGCACCTACAAGCCAAAGAACCCCAAAGATTGCCAGAAAACCACCAGAATCCAGGGCAGAAGCATGGAACAGATTCTCCCTCACAGCTGCATAAGGAACCAACCCTGCAGACACCTTGATCTGAGACTTCTAGCCTCCCCAACTGTGAGACAATAAAGTTCTGCTGTGCTAAGCCACCAAATGGCAGCCCTAACATAGAAGGAAAACCAAACTAGCAATGAATAGTTCTCTTTTGTTATCTTCCAGAATGGAAAGTTTAGGGGAAGGAAGAGCTGAATTATCTGTTCCCATTACATGCAAGTAAGGAACACTAACAAGAATTTTATAGAAAGTTTAGAAACCAATTTTCTCAGAGTTACAAAATTGCAAGTTTTAGACCAATAATATTTTCCCTTTTCAGCTCAATCCAGCCCAGCAGACTCTCAGGGTTAAAAATTAATTTAAAAGGTCACACAGAGACAATGTAATCAAACTGTTTAGCAAAAGGGGAGGTAGCAGAGGGAAGGCTTAGTTAGTTGCTGCTTCTTTTTGAATTCATTTTTATTTTTCTTAAACTCAGTGGTGAGAATTGGTTGCTTCTTTAGTTGAACAAATGTACCTTGATCTTATAAGACAGACCAAAAATCACTTCTCTTGTAGCACTCAGCACACTGCATTATATTTAATTAATGATTCATAAATATGCTTTGAAAGAATTTAGTTTCTATTTTCCTGCAATATGCACTTATTTTAATTGGTTTGGAGGAGACTTTCAGGCTAACCTAACTTTTGATTTTGTGATATTTAATACATATAAAGCAATAAATATAATACATAAGTTTTGAAACATAATAAAATGAATTATCTGTAAACCTGTTATCCAACAAAAGAGCTAGAACATGACTAGTACCATTGTAGCTCCCTGTGCATCACCTCCCAGATCCAACTCTCTCTTCTCCATTCCCTAATAAACAGGCTGTCATTGAAAACAGTCTTTTTTTTTTTTTTGAGACAGGGTCTTGCTCCATCGTCACCCAGGCTAGAGTGCAGTGGTGTGGTCATAGTGTGGAGAAAAATCTAACCTGCCATTCTGCTTATGTAAACTCCGCTAGCTCAGCCCTACTCCCTTCCCCCGCCGGCGCCACTCTGTAACTTCTCGAAAACTGCTTGCCGTTAGTCCTTGGAACCTATTGACCAAGATTAGAAGTTCCTGATATTAGCCCATCTGGTACATGTTTGTGCAAGGTCAAAGCCCATGGAATTTCCCCCCACCCTGTGATCCCTAGCCACCTGCGTGTGGTTTCTGCCTATAAAAATCCTAAGGAAAAAAAGGCCAGCGCGGCAGCTTCCCTAGCTCGCTTGCCCCTGCGCTGCGCTGGAAAATAAATCCTCCTCTTGCTTTTGCATCAAGTCTCTGGACTCTGAGTCTTTTTTTAGGCGGTCTTTTTTTAGGCAGTCGTCTCTCCCCCACATGGGCTGTACATTTCTGCGGCCTAACAATAGCTCACTGCAACCTTGAATTCCTAGGCTCAAGCGATCCTCTTACCTCAGCCTCCCGAGTCGCTGAGACTACAGGTGTATGCCATTGTGCCTGGCTGAAAACACAGTCATTTCTTTGGCTGCCATTATGCCACTGTCTCCTGTGTACACTGGGAAACTACACCCCAACCATGGTTTTTCCAGCTCTCTACACCCTAAGATCTCTAGGTAACAATTCTCACTTCAAAAGCTTCTCAGATTGTTTTTAGCTCAGTTATATTCACAGAATTGACTTACAGGGAACTTTGAGTCTGTTTTTGATGTTCATATCTCAGTGGAGCTATCAGAGCATCTGTCATATAGTAAAAAAATTGTCTGATCTTTGTCCATAGTTCATGGGAGCTTTAAAACCCTTGGAATTTCCTGAGTGTTACAAGTGTCTTTGGATCATAGAGGACCACAAGGCTAACAAGGTGACTTGCGGTGAGTCCCTAGATAGTTTTACAATAGGGGGTAGCCATGCCGGAAAATCCAACTGTGTGTTTAGAGGGTTGGGGCTTTGAGCCAGGTGATATCAGCCTAAACTCTTGGTCTTCAGGGAGTAGAGGGGGCTGAAGATTGAGTTCATTCACACGGCCAATGAATTAATCAATCAAAAACTGGGCACTGAGGCTCAGGCAAGCTCATTGATGGGCCAAGAGGGTAACACGTTCCAATTCCTAGGCAAAGTATATAGAACTCTGCTTTGGGGAGTCTCCCAGACCTCACCCTATATGTTTTTTCATTTGTATCCCTTATATAATAAAACTCTATTTATAAGTTTACCACTTTTTTGAGTTCTGTGAGTTGTTCTAACAAATTATGGGACCTGAGGGAGTAATGGGAAACCCTGATTTTTAGTCAGTTGGTCAGAAATGTGGGTGATCTGGGGATAGTCTCGCTGGGTACCATGTCTTTAACCTAGGGAGTCTGTGCTAACTCTGGGCAGTTAGTGTCAGAATTACATTGCAGTACTGTAGTTGCTTCGTGCAGAACAGACACTCATTAAGTTAGTTAACCAGAATTTTTTGCTAAATATTCAGGTGCCAAAGAAAATTAACCTGTATTTTGAGTCAAACCATACCATATCCTTTCTGGGTATCATCAATAATTGGAAAACTTCCTCTGCCAAGGAATTCATCACCCTTATCCATCAGAGCTTCCTTCACCGCTTCATATCCATGTAAGACCACAGTAGGCCAGGGTCCAAAGTACAGGGTATAAACAGGGCCGTACTCTTTGGCCAACTGGAAGAGATGCAAGCACCTGCGTAAGAGCTATTGTGAAATCTGTTGGAGGCTTCGGGAGAGAATAAGTCATAATTTTACACTTGGCTTAGCCTTTGCTCCATCAATTCCGTTTTAAGAATTCAACCTGAGGTATCATCATGGACCATTCTTTCCTTCATTTACATATGCAATCATTCAAATACTTACCGAGCATCTTTGCAGTGTCTTTGCATCAGACCCTGTGCACAGCCCAGGATCCCTCAAGGGACATAAAGTCTAGTGAAAGTGGCGGGAATAAACAGCCAAACTATGATTGCAATACAAATTGAACATAATTCTACAAAGTGATAGAGTATATTGTGTTGGATGACAAAGGCAGAACTTAATAAAAGAGAGAAGTCAGAAAAGGAGTCTGTGCAGAGGTGATATCACAACTTACCTGAACAGAAACCTGCACAGGAACCAGTACCGGGGTAGGAAAACCTGGACTGTAATTGAAAAATTGCTGGAGGCTCAGGGTGAATAAGTCTAAGAGTTAAAAACTCCAGAAGGGCCCAGTCTTGGGAGGAGGAGCACATTTTTGTGAGTTTTACCTCCAGGAGCTCTATCAGGTTCTCACAGTATACTGGAGAAAAATCCCCTCAGGCTTCTGGCAGGGAGAGGGAGAAAGTAACCATTGTGAAATAGACTAGAGCATTCCCTTCTTCTTAACAATGTCTGCCCTCAAGAGAATATATTTTACCAGAGCCTAACCAATTAGGGTTTTATCAGCGCCTGACCAACCCCAAGGAAGGGAAATACCCAACTTCAGCCCTCTCTAGCCTTCCACGTGAAGGAAGGAAAATACTCCATTTCAGCTCTCTCCAGCCATTCTGTCCTTCTAATGGGTGGGGGGACTGAGAAGCACTTGTGAAGTTCACTGCCTATGGCTATAGGCACACTCAAAGACTGAGACACAGCCAGCACAGTGGCTCATGCCTATAATCCCAGCGTTTTAGGAAGCCAAGGTGGGAGGATCACTTGAGCCCAGGAGTTTGAGGCCAGCCTGGGCAACACAGTAAGACCCTGTATCGAAAAAAATAGAAAAATTAGCTGAGCATGGTGGCATATGCCTTTAATCCCAGCACTTTGGGAGGCCCAGATGGGAGGATTGCTTGAGGCCAGGAGTTTGAGCCCAGCCTAGACAACATAGTGAAACCCAATTTATACAAAAAATAAAAATAAAAATAATTAGCCAGGCATGGTGGTGCACACCTGTAATCCCAGCTACTCAGGAGGCTGAGGCAGGAGGATCGCTTGCACCCGGGAATTCAAGGTTACAGTGAGCTATTACTGTACCACTGTACTCTAGCCTGAGTGACAGAGAGAGACCCTGTCTCCAAAAATACAAAAGATTGAGCCATAATCATAGAATTGCAGAACGCTTACTCCATGTCCCCCACCCACCTCACCACACGTCCCTAATGGCTTATTTACCAGAGTTCCTTTTACCCAGTAAATCATGTCTAGCTTTCAACAAAAAATTATAAGGCAATAAAAAGCAAAAAATATGGTTTGAAGAGTTTGAGAAAGCACCAGAACCACACTCAGATATGGCAGAAATATTGGAATTATCAGACCATAAATTTAAAACAACTATAATTACTGTGTGAAGGGATCTAATGGAAAAAACAGATGACATGTAAGAACAGATGGGTAATGAAAGCAGAGAGAGAGAGAAATACTAATAAAGAATCAAAAAGAAATGTTAGAGCTCAAAAACACAGTAACAGAAACAAAGAATGTCTTTGATGGGCTCAAGAGTAGACTGGGCATGGCTGAGGAAAGAATCTCTGAGCTTGAGGATGTTATCAATAGAAACATCCAAAACTGAAAAGCAAAGAGAAAAATTCTGGGGAAAAAAGGGACATTACATTAACAAGAAAGAAAAATCACATAATCATATCAGTAGATACAAAAAAAGCACTTGAAAAAAATCCAACATCCATTCATGATAAAAACTTTCAGCAAATTAGGAATATAGGGGAACTTCTTCAAGTTGAAAAGAACATCTACAAAACCCCTCCACCTAACATCACACCTATTGGCGAGAAACTAGAAGTTTTCCTGCTAAGAATAGGAACAGGGCAGAGATATGCTCTCTCACCATTCCTTTTAACTGGAAGTCTTAGCTAATGCAATGAGACAAGAGGAAGAAATTAAAGGTATAGAGACTGAGAAGAAAGAAATAAAACTGTCTTTGCTCACAGATCATGATTGCCTATATAGAACATTTGAAAGAATCAAGCCATCCATAGTGGCCACACCTGTAATCTCAGCACTTTGGGAAGCTGAGGTGGGAGGATCACTTGAGGCCAGGAGTTTGAGACCAGCCTGGGCAACATAGCGAGATCCTGTTTCCACAAAAAGTTTAAAAAATTAGCTGGGCATGGTGGCACATGCATGTAGTTCCAGCTGCTTGGGAGGCAGAGGCAGGAGGATCACTAGAGCCCAGAAGTTTGAGGTAAGCTACAATGAAGCCTCTGCATTCTAGACTGGGCAACAGAGCAAGACCCTGTTTCAAAAACAAACAAAAAAACCACTCTTGGTTGCAGGATACAAGGTTAATTTACAAAAGTAATCACTTTCCTATATGCCAGCAATGAAAAAGTAGAATTTGAAATTAAAAACACAATACTATTTACATTAGCACCTCCAAAATGAAATACTTAGGTACAAATATAACAAAATATGTACAACATCTATGTGAAGAAAACTACAAAACTGACAAAGGAATTCAAAGAAGAACAAAATAAATGGAGAGATATTTCATGCTCATGGGTAGAAAGACTCAATATTGTCAAGATGTTAGTTCTTTCCAATTTCATCTATAGACTTAATGAATTCCAATCAAAATCATAGCAAGTTATTTTACAGATATCAACAAACTGATTGTAAAGTTTATGTAAAGAAGGAAAAGACACAGAATAGCCAACACAATATTGAAGGAGAACAAAGTTGGAAGACTAACACTATCCAGCTTCAAGACTTACTATAAAGCAAGGGTAATCAATAGATCAATGAAAAGAATAGAGAGCTCAGAAATAGACTCACATAAATATATTCAACTAATCTTTGACAAAGGAGCAAAAGCAATACAATGGATGAAAGAGTTTTTTAACAAATAGTGGTGGAAAAACTGGACATACACATGTAATAAAATGAATATAGACACAGACCTTACACCTTTCATAAATATTAACTCAAACAGGATCATAGACCTAATTGTAAACTATATTGCAAAACTATAAAAAGTCCTAGAAAACAGGAAAACATCCAGGTGACCTTGCATATGACAATTACTTTTTTTTTATTTTAGCATATTATGGGGGTACAAGTGTTAAGGTTACTTATATTGCCCATGTCCCCCTCCCCCCGACAATGACTTCTTAGATGCAATACAATAGAAGGGCATGATCCATGAAAGCAATAATTGATAAACTTCATTAAAATTAAAAACTTCTGCTCTGTGAAAAGCACTGTCAAGAAGATAAGAAGACAAGCCACAGATTAGGAGAAAAATCTTTGCAAATGACATATCTGATAAAGAATCAGATATGTTATCCAAAATATACAAAGAACCCTTAAAATTCAACAATGAGAAAATGCACAGCCCAGTTTAAAAAAGGGCAAAAGACCTGAAGAGATACTTTACCAAAAAAGATATATGGATGGTGCTATAATTTGAATGTTCCCTCCAAAAATCATGCTGAAATTTAATTGCCATTGTAGCAGTGTCAAGAGGTGGGACCTTTAAGAGATGAGGAAGAGGGCTAGTTATCATGGGGTGAGTTCATGATAAAAAGATGAAGCACAGTTCTTGCTTGCTATGTCTTGCATGCGTGTTTCCTGGCCACAGGATGTCTTCCACCACAGTATGATGCAGTAAGAAGGCCTTCACTAGATGTGATGCCCCTCCCAACCTTGAACTTCCCAGCCTCCAGAGCTGTGAGGCAAATAAACTTCTTTTCTTTATGAATTACCCAGTCTGTGGTATTCTGTAATAGTAGCAGAAAATGGTTTAAGACAGTGGCAAATATGCATATGAAAAGATACTCCACATCATATATTGTTAGGAAATTGCAAATTAAAACAACAATGAGCTACCATGTCTATTAGAGTGTCCAAAATCTAAAACACAGACACGACCTAATGCTGGCAAGGACGTGGAGCAGCAGAAACTCTCATTCATTGCTGGTGGGAACACAAAAAATGATACACTTTGGAAGCATATCACTTCCAAATGAAGCATTTTGGAAGACAGTTGGGCAGTTTCTTATAAAACTAAGCATACTTCCACCATATGATCCAGCAATTGCACTTCTATGTGTGTGTGCCCAAAGGAGTTACAACTTATGTTCACACAAAAACCTGCACATGGATATTTATAGCAGATTTATAATTTCCCAAATTTGGAAGCAACCAAGATGTTCTTTGGTAGGTAAATGAATAAACTATGGTATATCCAAATAATAGCATATTATTCAGTGCTAAAAAGAAATGGGCTACTAAATCATGAAAAGAAAATGAAAGAAGTCAATGTGAAAGGGCCACATACTGTATGAGTCCAACATATAAAATTCTGGAATAGATAAAACTATGAAGACAGCAAAAAGATCAGGGGTTGCCAGGGACCAGGGGGCAGGGAGAAATGAATAAACAGAGTACAGGGGATTTTCAGGGCAGTGAAACCATTCTGTTTGATAATATAGTGGTAGATACAACAGTGGTAGATACATTTTTCCAAAGCCACAGAATGTACAACACCATGAGTGAACCCCAGTGTAAACTATGGGCTCTGGGTGATGTTGACGTGTCAGTGTAGGTTCATCAATTTTAACAAATGTACCACTGTGGTGTGGGACGTCAATAGTGGGGTAGGTTGTACATATGTAGGGGCAAGAGGTTTATGAGAACTCTGTATTTTCTGATTTTTGCTGTGTGCCTAATGCTGCTCTAAATAATAGTCTATTTTTAAAAAGTTACTTCTAATTTTTTTTCCCCACAGCATTTATAATAGTTAAATGCTATATATATCTTACAGGTTGAGCACCTTTACTCCCCAAATCTGAAATCTGAATTGCTACAAAATTCAAAACTTTCTGAGTGCTGACATGATGCTACAAGTGGAAAATTTCACACCTGACCTCATATGAGTCACACTCACACTCAAAATGCAGTCAAAACTTCATTTCAAGCACAAAATTGTTAAAAATATTGTATAAAATTACCTTCAGGATATATGTGTAAGGTGCATATGAAACATAAATAAATTTTGTGATCATACTTGGGACCCATTCCTAACATGTCATTACATATATGCAAATATTCCAAAATACGAAAAAAATCCAAAATTAGAAATACTTCTGGTCTCAAACAATTTGGAGAAGGGATAGTCAACCTGCACTGACTTGTTTTGGTTTTGTCTGACTCTCATTACAAGAATTCTATAAGTTATGCAAGGGCAGGGTTCTTTTTTTTTTTTTTCCTCTTCTGCTCACTGCAGTATTTCCAGAGTCTAAAAGACATCTTGTCAAAAAGTATGGGCTCATTGAATGTTTATCTAATAAATTAGTGCTAAGGCTTATCATCAGAGAAATGTCCTGTATGGTTTCTTATGTCCTGGAGAATATGTTTTTGTACAGTGAATTTATGGAGACAATATCTTTTCCCGAAAGAGTATTTCCAAAGGTGTGAACGTCAGCCAGGGCCGCTGAGCTGGGCTGCATAAGAGCTGGTGGTTGGGAGGGGAGTGGGGACCCCTCTCTACGAGAGTCACAAAGCTTCCCATGGGGAAAAAAAAAAGCTTCCCATGGGGGAAAAAAAAAGCTTCCCATGGATTATTTAGTGTAAAATAATAGTAATAATATAAAAGGACATTTATTACATTTTCAGATTTCCTGGGCTTGCCTTTTGGTGTTATATGCTGGGGGAATTGGAAACCTTTCAATTAAAACATGTTCTGATCCTAGAATTTTCTCATTCACTAGAATATAACCAATATCTCAAGGCAGGTCAACACCCCTCACTACCTGCCCTAAAATGCTCCCATCCAGAAAGGAAGAGGATATCTGTCTTGTAATAGAAGAAATAAACACCCACAAGTATCTCCAAGATGAGTAGAACCAAGAAAGATTGAGGTGAGACTGCCGGCCCACAGTGGTCTGAGATGCAGAGCCTGGAGATGATCAGCCCCAGAACCAAAGCCCCTTACCTTGGAGAGAGATGCAGGGATGTCCTTGGGGTTTAGCTGCAGCATATTCCCAATGATGGGAAGGGGAGTTGGGCCAGGAGGGAGCCTTCCCCCTATTTGACTTTTCTTCCACACCAAAAGGAAAATCAGGCAAGTGACACAAATCACAAGAGCAAGAGTAGCGATTTTTAGCAACTCCATTTCAGTCCTTGATGTAAGCAACTGTCTGGATTGCTTGCTAGAAAGCAAAGGCTTGTGCAGGGTGTGTACCTTGCTGGGCAAAGGCTGGTCTGAGTTCTTCAACTTGAAAAAAAAAAATTGGAAGAGGTTTTGAGTTTGTTTACTTTGCTGAAGCTTGATATTAAGAAGGGTTTATATTTTTCCTCCCTCTTCTTCAGATAATCTGCAAATTTCTCTCTTTGATTTTCTAAGCATCTCCATTACATATACTTTTTTGTCTCAGCACATATAAATCTTCCTTTTTTTTTTTTAGCTTTCTGAAACTGTTCACATAATTAACTTCACAAATCAGAAAAATAGAACATACATTCTGAAATCTGATTTGGAAAAACACCACTGTCAGAGTTATCCTCCTCAAACATTATTTTTATCATGTCTTTCCATCAGTTGAAAGTCTACATCAAAAGACAAATGGATAAACAAAATGTAATGTATACATACAATGGAATATTATTCACCCCTAAGAAGAGATGAAATCCTAGTACATGGTAAAGCATGGATGAACCTTGAAAACACTGTGCTATGTGGAATAAGCCAGATCAAAAAAAGGACAAATATTCTATGATTCCACTTATATGAGGAATAGGCAATTCATAGACACAGAAAGTAGAATTTTAGAGGTAGGTTACTAGGGGTTGGGAGGGGGAGGGGATGGGAAGTTACTGTTTAATAGGTACAGAGTTTCTGTTTGGGATGTTGAAAAAATTCTGGAAATGGTTAATGGTGATGGTTACACAACACTGTGAATATACTTTTTGCCAATGAATTGTACACATTAAATAAGGTTACAATGGTAAATTGCATTTTGTATGTATTTTACCACAATAAAGAAAAAGAAACATTTACTAACTTGGTGGTTGAAAACTGTTATTTCATTTTTATTTGCATTTAAAATAATTAATGCTATGATTTATTCTTTGAGACAAATCTTACTATTAATATCTCACAGTCTATCCACTATTTTATGGGGAATTTAATTGGCATAATTAAAAATCAATCTTTTAAAAAATATAAAGTCCACTGTGGTTTTCCTATTACTTATTGCAGCAAACACTAAAAATCTATGTAGCACTAAAACTGTTGGTTTCAACTGTGTTACTGTTCTCTCATTTCAGAGTAATTTCTCACAGCAGCCTGCTTACTTCCACTAAACAAACTTGCTTACTAGCCTGCATTCACGTATCTATTAGCACGATGACCAGGACGGTTTTTACATAAAGGTTTTTAGGGTCCGTGAGCTGGGATGGGGCCCCAGCTGATGATGGATTTGTGTGTCAAGAAGAACTATAGTAGAGGGGATCAGCTTAGGGAATTCATATATATTTCTGTCATCCTTCTAGTACCTTCTGTGAAACCAGTGTCCACTGGCATTTTTGTTGAGTTTCTGCAAGTGAGACATCTCAGTGAGGTAAATTATTGACTTTGAAGTACTGTGAAAAGTTAGAACTTTAATGTTGATTTGGATGTTGAAAGTAGGTGAGCAGAGGTAGACTGGTAAACATGTGGCAAAGGGCACTATTCAGATCCATCCCCTGCTTAAAACTCTAACCTTTGGAAAAAGTCACTGGTGTGTAACAAGACTTAGAAGGCCCACCACCATTTACCTCACCCATTCCCTCTGATACCTGCCTCTCCAGTCTCAGCTTTTGGTGCGCCCACATTCACTAGTAATGTTATGCCTATGTTGAATTTATTCCCATTTCTGGAAGCTTCCTGAACTGAGGTCTTCACACTATCACCTAATCCTTTATATACTTTTAATAGCAGCTTGAGATATAACTCACATACAATTTATCCTTTTGAAGTATACAGTTTGATAGTTTTTAGTATATCCAGAGTTGTACAGCCACCATCAAAAGCAAATTTTGGAATCTTCATTACCCCAGAAAGACATCCCATACCCATGAACAGCCACTCATTTCTCTCTCCTCCCAGCCTCTAGCAATCACCAATCTACTTTTAGCCTATTTTCAACATTTCATATAAATATAATCATATAATATATAGCCATTTGTGACTGACTTCTTTCACTTAGCATAATGTTTTGAAAGTTCATCCATGTTGTTGCACACATCAGAACTTCATTCCCTTTTTTTGTTTTTTTGAGAGACAGGGTCTCACTCTGTTGTCCAGGCTACAGTACAGTGGTGTCAGTCCAGCTCACAGCAATCTCAAACTCCTGGGTTCAAGCGATCCTCCGGCCTTGGCCTCCCAGTGTGCTATGATTATAGGTGTGAGCCACCACGTCCAGCCTTCATTCCTTTTTTATGGAATAATATTCCATTATATGGATATACCACATTTTATTTATCCATTCATCAGATGATGAACATTTGGGTTGTTTCCACTTTCTGGCTACTATGAATAATATTGCTATGAGCATCCATATACAAGTCTTTGCGTGGACATGTTTCAGTTCTGGGTAGATACCTAGAAGAGGAATCATTGGATCATGTGGTAACTGATAAAGTTTGGACATTTGGCCTCTCCAAATCTCATGTTGGAATTTGATCCCCAGTGTTGGAGTAGGGCCCGTGGGAGGTGTTTGGGTCATGGGGGGCAGATCCCATATGAATGGCTTGGTGCCTTCCCCACAATGATGAGTCAGTTCTTGTTTCATTAATTTACATGACAGCTGGTTGTTTAAAAGAACATGGGCTCTCTCTCACTCCTTTTTTTTCCTTTTGTTTCCAAAGTCCATGAAATTGCTCCTTCTCTTGTCATGTGATGTGCTCCTCCTCCTTTGCTTTCCACCTTGGTTGGACATTCCCTGAAGCCCTCACCAGAAGATGCTGGCATCATGCTTTTTATACAGCCTGCAGAACTGTGGGCCGAATAAACCTCTTTTCTTTATAAATTGCCCAGTATTTATTTGTATTTATTTCCTTTATATTTAACACCAACACAGAATAGACTACCATAGTAAATATTTAACATTTTGAGAAACTGTCAAAATGTATTCCAAAGTGACTGCATCATTTTACATTCCTATCAGCCAAGTATAAAGATTCCAGTTTCTTCCCATCATTGTCAACACTTGTTATTGTCTTTTTAAATTTAGCAATCCTAGTGGGTGTGAAGTAGTACTTTGCTGCATTTCTCCAATGACTAAAAATGTTAAACATCTTTCATATTCTTACTGGCCATTTGTATATCTTCTCTAAATTATCACCTATTAAGATCTTTGCCCATTTTAAAATTAGGTTGTCTTTTTATTATCACCTTATCTTTAACTGTCTAGCACTCTTTCTCATTTTTTTTTTTTTGAGACAGAGTCTCGCTTTGTTGCCCAGGCTAGAGTGAGTGCCGTGGCGTCAGCCTAGCTCACAGCAACCTCAAACTCCTGGGCTCCAGTGATCCTTCTGCCTCAGCCTCCCGGGTAGCTGGGACTACAGGCATGCGCCACCATGCCCGGCTAATTTTTTATATATATATCAGTTGGCCAATTAATTTCTTTCTATTTATAGTAGAGACGGGGTCTCGCTCTTGCTCAGGCTGGTTTTGAACTCCTGACCTTGAGCAATCCGCCCGCCTCGGCCTCCCAAGAGCTAGTCTTTCTCATTTTTTATCTTCTCCCTCTCTTTTCTTACACTCTCCTGGCACTGCATTTCTCCCAATTACATAGTCTTATCATACTCGGAATTCTCTGATTAAGGGTCTACTTTTCCTGAGACTGTTGATTCTAAGAGAGCAGAGACTCTGTCCCACTCATTGTTGTTCACCGTTGGTCCATTACTTTGTACATTTTAGGTTTCCTGGCACATACCAGGTACTCAACAAACATTGGTTGAATTGTATTTAATTTTATAGTCACCTTGTTTTCTCTTGTTCTATCAGGAGGGTTGCTGTCTTCATTGAAAAAGTGTTTGGAGTCAACTCCTCCCTACCCCATTTATGCTCTTGTCTCCTGCTAGTTGAGGGTTGTCACAGGGTTATTAATGCTTGTGCCTATCTAGGTTAAGCATATGTATGGACTGACTATAGCTTTCATAGTGTTGGAAGATTCCTAGGGCAAAAACAACATGAGAAGTGCATGCGTGAAGGTAAGATGCAGTCGGGCCAACTATGTGGAACTGTCCAGTGCAGCTACAGTTGGAATTAGGAGTGAGGTTGAGTAGAATTGTGATAGGGTGCCAGAGGAATCAGATATACCATTTGTCAGAACTCTCCTTATGTGCTTGAATTCCAATTATGGTTACAGTACCTATTTAAGATGCAAATCTTGACATACCTGCAAATGGAGAAAAGTAATGCAAATATCGGGGGACAAATGGCCTCGTTCAAATAACTCTACCAGCCTGCATCAACCACTTACTCCTGCATCAACCACTTACTAAATGTGCTGTCCCCAGAGAGGGGGTGTGACCTTCGGCACGAGGGCTTTCCTGGGCCAATGGAAATTTTTGCAGGGCAACTAAGCTGAGAGCTGTCAGCATGGACACTCTGAAATTATGCCATAACATACCTTGTGCTAGTCCATCCTTGTGTGAGTCAGCAACACTTGCTTCCTATAGTAAGGGGAGTTGCCCCTCCAGGATGCAAAGGGCTAATCTTTCTGGAATTAGTTGTCATACTGTCCGGCTCACCTAGACCACTTCTTCCAAACCCTGCAGAGAGCAGAGAAAGTCAGCTCCCGGGTCACCACTTCACATCACATATTAGCCACATGCTTATCCCTTTCCTGACCCCAACTGCAGCCCACACATCCTCTTAAAACTCCCCTAAATGTAGAGCTTCCATTGCCCTAAATGTAATTGCTTCAAGGGCAAATGTAAAGGGCTGTGGTAAAGAACTTGGATCTGGAATATGGCTAGTTCAATCTTTACTTTGCCACTCATTATTCATGTGATCTTGGATGAAGTGACCTCTCTAAATCTCAGCTATATGAAGATTACAATAGAGCCTCAAAAGCTTTAACATGGAGAGCCTCCCATTGTTAAGCAAGGGGACTCAGTTAATTGCATTTTAAAAGGCAATGGCATGTGGTTCTCCCACTGCCTGGAAAACATTCCACCATCTCATTCTCCAGCTGGCTGGTTGCCTCCTGTCCATCCTAAAAAATTTAGCTCAGATCAGACACTCCTTTCTAGAAACCACCAGGCTGGGCTGACCTTTACTGGGGCACCCCCTAGAACCCAGTGTTCACCTAGCTGTGTTACTTACCACACTATTAAACCTATTTACTTGCTGCACTGCCCCCACAGAAGGCTATATGCCTTTTTGTTGCCTCAGCAATCAGTATATAGTAGATACTCAATAAACATTTGTAGGAAGAAAAGGAAGGAGACATTTTTGCAGATAAAAAATAGAAAGTAGAAAAATGGATTGAAAAGATATAAGAAAAAAAAATTGAATGATAGGTACTAATTCCAAAGAAACAAGGTAAGAGAAATGAGTCATTCTGAGTTATGGTCTATGTGATAATGGACATTAAGAGTAAGCAATGAATTAACAGTAAATTAGTTCAAAATGTTTATACAAAGAAAAGAGACCAGGAGAAAGCCGAAAAGCTGGCCCAGCTTGCTGAGATGTTCCTGGAGGGCTGTGGCTGAGGTTTAAAATCCTGCTAGCTTAGTTCTTAGCTGCTAAAGACATAAATCAGGTATTTTATTAGGCACTTGTATGTACCAGGCACTGGGCTCACTTTCTCCACTATGGAAACTTGGTCTATTCAGAGACAGAAACATACATTGACTTCTATTGACTAGGTGCACCATTGTATCCTAGCAATTACCATGTGTAAAACACTATGCTAAGTACATCAACATAGCTTGTTGAATCCAGTGAAGAGCTGCCCTGCAAGGATGAGTGAACAGGTTCAGAGATGTCAGGTAACTTCCCAAGGTTACACATTAAGTCCTGACACGGACACTAGCCTAACTTCTATCAGTAAGTCCTTTTTCCCATTAATCACCTGCCTGCACTGACCACATTTCACATTCAACCTTTTATTCTTTCACGCAACAAAACTGACCAACTTCTATGGGCCAGACACAACCCCCGGGAATACCACAGTCACACTCCCTGCCCTCACAGAGCTTGGCAAGTGTGAAAACAGACATTAAGCAGGTAAAGCAAAGTATGAAGTGTTATAGAGGGGGAAATACAGGATGCTAACCCCAGTCAAGCAGTTCAGGGTGAACTCTCTGAAGAAGCGATGAAGACTCATCAGGAGGTGGCAAACGAAAGCTGGCACCAGGGAAGGAAAGTGAGCTAGGCAGATGTAACAACATATGCAAAGAGACAAAGATAAGGTACGTTCAAGGACCTTAGAGAAGAGTAGCTGGAGAAGTCAGCAGGTGCCAAATCATGGAGCTTTGTGTGCACACATTTGGGACTTAATCCTTAAACAATCAGAAGCCACAGCTCTAATTCATAGAATTCCTCTCCTAAAGAAGCAGAAATCACTTCCTTTTTTTTTTTTGAGACAGAGTCTCACTCTGTTGCCTGGGCTAGAGTGCCATGGCATCAGCCTAGCTCACAGAAACCTTAAACTCCTGGGCTCAAGCAATCCTTCTACCTCAGCCTCCCGAGTAGCTGGGACTACAGGCATGCACCACCATGCCCGGTTAATTTTTTTTCTATATATTTTTAGTTGGCCAATTAATTTCTTTCTATTTTTTAGTAGAGACGAGATCTCGCTCTTGCTTAGGCTAGTATGGAACTCTTGAGCTCAAACCATCCTCCCGCTTCAGCCTCCCAGAGTGCTAGGATTACAGGCCTGAGCCACCACGCCTGGCCGTGAAATCACTTCATTTTAATACTTACCAAAAGCCTATAGAGTTTGGTAGTTTGAATTAGGTAAAGTTCCCTGGTCAGCAGCAGCTAGATGTAGGATACTATGGAGCTGGATCCCAGAGGAACCAGAGTAGAGCTGCATGCCCCAAAACTCCTAATTACCACTCCCTGCTGGCCCAACATCACCATGAAATTGTCCCCAGGAGGTAATGCAGAACATCTGGGAAGAGCAGGTCCAACCCCAGCTCTTGAAATAATAACATCTGAGTTAGTGTATACAAATATTCCTTCCTCCACTATAGATGACATTCTTCCTTCTTCAGTGTAAAAGCATTTTAGTTCTCAGGGAAGGCTCCCGGGGCCACAGTGTCCAATCCTCCCTTTCATCCTCTACCACTGGCCCTGTCCCACAGGGAACTAGAATATGCCTTGTTACTCCTTCCAGGAGTCATGAAAGAATGAAAACCCTGTTTTTAAATTCTTATACCAGCTAGGCAGTATTCTGGTAAAAGTATTTTAAAAAGCTTCTATAATTAAGTTAAACCAGCAAATAAATTAGCTACGTAAGGTAATGGGCAAGACAGCCTTAGAAACATGGTAAGACAACCAAAAGAATGGAGACATAAGGGAAAGAACACAAATCATTGATAGTAAAATAATTTTATTTAGTTTCTTATTTTAAAAAAGGTAGCATTTCACATATAAATTTATAGACTTCAAGATTACAGTGTATATCTTGCCAAAGGAAAATCCCTGAAGGACAGCTAGAGCTCACTGAGTGGGCACAGGGAAGCACACTCTGTGGGGAGTGGAAGTGGAAGTGCTTTCTTCAGAACATCACAACAGTATTTCCCTGCTCCTCAGCCTTGCCACCAGGGCTGTGGCTAGTAAGAAAACTCACAGCCATCACTCTGGGGCAACAGCTTTTTGCTCATAAGAACAGAAAACATCTCTAGGAATGAAAGCAGAGATCAATGATCCAGATTTCCCACAAGAATCATTATTTATCTATAGCAACAATAACAGGTTAAGAGTTTATTTTTATAATTCAAAAGTTCTTTTAAAGAGGGCTAAAGAACCCCAAATTCATCCATAATGAGAACTTATAGAATTAAATAAGCAAAAACAAATTTTTTTTCCTCCATATTACAAATGCCTCTACATAAGTATAACAAAAGGCCCAGGGAAAAGACCCATTCAAATCTGGGCTTTCCTTTCCCAATAAACTGTTTGGCACAACCCACGAGCTGTCATGAGACCAATAGGACTGACAGCTGAAAGGTTTCTGGAAGTGGTCCCATGACTTTTTTGTCAAGCTCCAACAGAGTGTACAAAAGAGGTGTTTCAACAAGTCGCACAAACTCAGGCCTAACTACGCAGCACACTGTTCGAGAAAAGTTAATCTGAGGGAAAAAAGGTCCAGATGAACTAGGTCTCCTGTAGTCATAGGTTAACTATGTCATCCTCTTATGAAAAATTAAATTCACTGGCTGCCCAGGTCAGGAGTCATGATCTCCTAGTAATGTGAAAGGTGGAGAAACAACTCTGATTTAAGCATCTCAGGGTTGGGAGAGAAGGAGACAAAGATGGTAAAGGATGCTTTCTAGGTTACTCTTTGTTCCATCCACACCCTATGGGGCTCCTGATGAACAGTATTAAGTAGAATCAGTGTGCTAGTGTTGTGGCTGCCCTATGATTTGGCCTTTAGACAGAAGTGCTGAGGTAAATGAATATACCTCAAATCCAGTTTTAGAAATAAAAACTTCCTGCAATTACGATACAATACTGTGCAGTGAATGGCTAGGAATTGTACGCTGCTCCTATTTCCAGTTAAAGCCCTGTTCCACTCTTAGCCAGCCATAGCTGAAAGGAGTTGGCTGTGGCTTAAAACCAAGCACCTTAGTCACACATGGCCTAGGGCAGTGACGTTGATAGTCATCACCCAATGGAGAGAACCAGGGCCCCAGAGCTTTGGTTCAGAGCAAAGGTTTCATCTTATCCACAACTTAAACCAAGCCCTCTTTATCTCTGAGCATACTAATGCAATAAAGTAGTGATTAGGAATCTCTATGAGGACTCTCTGATTGGGTGGCCAATCACAGGTCCCTGTAGGCCACCAACTTCACTGTAGGAAAACAGAAAGGTGCAACTTGTATCAAGTTAATCGTTGTTCAAGTGGAAGATCATTTGCTGGGGAACTTCAGTGGCCTGGATGTTAATCACATGGATGAATGCTGAGACTGGACCCCAAAGAGAGTGCCTGGGTCCCAGGTGCAATCAGTCTTCATTAACTTACCGTATCGTGGCTGTCTTCTCTCAGGCCTCCCATCTCTTGATTGGCTGAGATTTCCCCGGGGACCAATGTAAACATTATTCAATAGATTTCAGCTTAGAAAAACACAGCTTGTTATATATTTAGTGTTTAACATTCCAGTGCAGGCAGTATCTTAGCATCAGACTTTCCTTTGTTCTTGAGTACCAGTTTAGAAAGGAACACATACAGGATACTTGATAAAACTGTGGCTGACAGGACCATTTGAGTGCCAGACAGCTGGCTCTATCCTGCAATCAGCTGACAAACCAAGACTGTATCACAGGAGAGGCAGAACAGAGGAAGCACAAGTTCTCTGTAAATCTGAAGAGTTCGTACAACCATTGTTCCCACTTAACCCCTTGGGCCACATATCTTGATATGGAGAATATTTCCACCTCTTGCATCAACCTGTGCTCTCCTTGTTTTGGATGAGGCTCTCTCCAGAGGGTTCAAGAGCCTCCTTAGAGGGGAGAGAGCCTTCTCTTCCAGTCCTAACATCTGAATATTTCAAAGCACAAGACGAGTCAACGAACATGCTAGGGATGTTGCTGCCAAAGTAGATCTTACTGTTAGAAGCAATTGCCTGGTACTTTTTGAGCTCCAGATATTCCGGGGTCAATTTGTGCTGTGTGGGAGCAAACAAGAGCAAAGGCATCAGAATACTGTGGTGTAATAATCTTCTCTCTCTTTCCCTACATCTATTTCTCCTACTGGTCTCCTGAGTACCATGACTCAACTCTGAATGATTGCCAATGACTCTCTCATTTTGGGGAGTGGCTATCACATTAACAGGTATGATTCCAACTTTAAATTGCTTCAACAAGCTCCTGCCTTGTATTAATGCAGGAAAAGTTATTTACTTTTTAACAAAAGAATTGGCAAAGGGGGTTTTAGAGAACAATTAATGATAACTAATTATAATAACTAGTATTTCTACAGTGACTTTCTATAAGGCCTATAAAGTACTTTAACATCCACTTTTTCATTTCATCTAGCCAAATTCAACCTGGAATTTCTGCTGATTTCTTTGAGAGAGGTGCATAGGACAATGGATGAGAGTGGCAGAGTTTCAAAGAAGGGCTTGGGCTCATAATCGTATAATCGGCTACCTGTGATTCTGGTTCTCTTGACCAAATTCCAGAAATGGAAAAATATCTCAAGAAGTTACCTGAATCTAGCCACTTGCTTTTCCCAGAAGTTGGATGTTTAAGCTGTTTGTGATAGACAAATGTTTGCTAACCACCAGATCTCTCTCTCTGTCACAGTGTTTTGTTTAAATCAAGATATATCCAACCAAAACTTCTCGGGGGTTTGACTAAAACTCACTTCCACTGTTCCCCTATATGCCTCCCAAAGCCCCTCAAACCATTCCCTGTGATCTTCTCCTCATCTTCAGTCCAGCCAATGCCCCAGGCAAAAGCCAGTGTTGTCCTTCATAGTCCCACAAAATCTGTTTTCTGCACTCCAACATCTTCCACTCTGTGGCTCTCTATCCTCTCCAGTTGATTCATATCCTCTGTCAAAATACTGGAATCAAATCTGATCATAGTACACAATCAAATTACTTCCTAACCCCTTTTTAATATAGGTTGGTATCTGAGTAGCATTTTTCAACATTGTTTAAAACTACTGTCCCTTTCAGAATGAAGGTGACCTCAAAGGCAAGGTCTTGAAACTTGTGCCTGGCCAGCTTCTCCCATTACAGGTTTAGACTGCTAGTTTTCTATACTAAAGTTTCCTATCTTGCCTTCATCTTGACCAAAGTCCATTCTGGTTCTATAGAGTTGTGTCCTCCAATGTTTTCAAGGACTGACAACTCTCATTCTGTCATATCTTGTCATTTCTTCCAAATACAGATTATGTTCTTCCTTTCTAAATTGAAAGTTTAAGCCCTGTCTATAACTTAAATCTTGACTCTAATCCTTCAAACTGCATCACACTCCTTAGCAATCTCTATCTCAACCCTTTATTTGTTCCAATCTACTCCATAATTATAAATCTTGGACATCTACCTTATAAATCTTGGACATATCCTTCCCTTTTCAGATTACTATAGTGGTTCTAGCTGCCTCTTACTGAAATAACTCCTGCTCACTAGGCCTGTACTCTCTGGCCAACTTACTCCAGTCCTTACATAAAATCATTCACCCAATATCACCCAACCACCCCTTCTCAAATTATCTCACATGAAATTCCTTATGACTGAAACCTAAGTTTTTAAAAATTCAATAAACAAGGAGTACTCAACTGGGGGCACTTGGAAACGTGTGTGTGTGGTTGCTAAAACAACTGCTGAGCACTACTGACATTTCATAAGCAAGGGCCAGAAATGCAAAATATCCTACAATGAATGAGATAGTCTTTAATAATGAAAAAGTATTTCACTCTTCAAATGCCAAGAATGTCTTTGATAAGAAATACTGCTCCAAACAAGCTTAGCATCTACACAAAAAAAGCTACCCCAAAAGAGTAAGAATAAAAAAAAAAAAAAAAAAAAGCTACCTTATTTGTTATTCTAAATAAACTTTATTCTTCTCTTGTCACTCTTGTCATTTCAGGAGAAGACCTTCAACTTTACTGATTATTGAGCCTTTATACAGCAGTATAAATGAATGGATTTCTGGTATTTGACATGTGTTTATGTCTTTGCCTGTGTCCTAACTCCCCATTTTCATAAGGAACTATACAAAGTTCATTACTCAATGAGTGTGTAATATGTCTTGCTAAGTGACTGGTTGATTCTGGAGGATGTCTTGGTCACTACCTTTCCTTGACAATGGATAATATCACCTCTAACACATTAGAGCCCTGAAAAATGGAAAGCAAAACCCCTTAATTATATCACTAGGAAAGTGGCATGGAAAGCCAGTCACCTTGTTTGAGGTGGCATATTTGTGTGCCGCATAATACTCAGCATCTGCTTTTGCCTTTTCTCGTGCCAGGAATGCAGCATCTAGCAAGTAAAACAGAGTCAGGGGATTTAAAACAAAAGAAAATATCCAATCCCTTCCCTCAGCTAGGGAAGAGTCCCTTTCTCCACTGCTTAATACTTACATTGCTTATTTCAGTTTGAAAATTTATAACATTAGCAGTTTTCAAATCCCAGTCCCTAGATAGCTCCTTCTCAAAGGGGAATACTCTTGTTACTGTTGAATAACTTTCAGCTCATCTGAGTCCACTCATTTTCTACCCTAAGTTGCTCCTTTTTCCTCCCCTCCCTCTTCCACCTTATATCACCCAAAGCCTCACCCCATTCAGGATCCAGAATTCAAGTAAAATAACTAAGTTCAGACATGAAAGCTCTGCTCTATTTACTGCATTATCCCACTCCCTCCAAATCCGATTCAGAATTAACAGATAAAAATAGAAGGCAGTAATATATAAGCAAAAGTGTTTTCAAGACTGCAAGTTTAGAACATCAACATCTCATTACATGAACTCAAGAGGTTGAGCCCCTCCATGAAAACTGGAGTTTCTTTTTTTCCCAACTAATTTTTTTTTTGATGGGTGGAAAAGAAACTGGTAGTGATAGGATTTATTATCTTGTACATTCTTTATAATTGATTATGGGTAATATCTGTATTTTATCTGCCTGAGAATAAAGTGGCAGGTGAGAATAAATATGCCCTAATTTAAGGAAGGAAATGAAAGGACGATCTACCCACAGTCACAACCAAACCAAGAGCTAGATATGTAATAGTAATGTTTTTTAAATTTGTCTAGAATATCAGACCAGCTACTTCCTCCAGACCAGATTATTCTGCCTATGGCTTTCCCACCCAACAAATCAAGAGCCCAACCCTGAAGCAGAGAGGCAGTTCAGGAGAGTCAGAGCCTCCTGCTCTCCCCCAATGTACCTTCAATTTCAGAAATGCGCTTTTCAGTTTCTTTCTCCATCACCTTCTGCTGAAACCGAATTTTTGCCACTTGTGCAATCTTCTCTGCCTCTATAATGATACAACAAAAGAAGACACATTCAAAAACCTTTCTATAGTACCTGAGGCACTTAGAATCAGTAGCACACAGTCTAACATTTAATTATAGAAGGCTTTATGGGCTAATTGTTTCATTAAGTTTTCTCTATCAAGACTGTAAACAACTCAAAGGAAAAAAGGAATTTATCTCCTACTTCACTATTCTCCTTTGACAGTGCTAGCTTTGCGGGAGGGAGTAAAAAAAGTTAATAGTTCCAATCCTTCATGGGACTATACAGCAATGGTCCACAAGCTAATGGGAAAGAAAAGATACTTTATGAAAGTACCACAGAACAAAAACAGAGTAATAGAAATGCACGGCAATGTAGGACAATTATATAATGTGGCAGGAGAAAGAATAAAGGAGAGGCCTAGCATGGTGGATCATGCCTATAATCCTAGCACTTTGGGAGGCTGAGGTAGAAGGATCACTTGAGGCCAGGAGTTCAAGCCAGCCTGGGCAACATAGTGAGACCACCATCTCTACAAAAAAAAAAAAAAAGAAAAAAGCCAGGCATGGTAGCACATGCCTGTAGTCCCAGATACTTGGGAAACTCAGGCAGGAGAATCGCTTGGGGCCAGGAGTTTGAGGCTACAGTGAGCTATGATGACATCACTGCACTCCAGCCTGGGGGACAGAGTGAGACCCTGTCTAAAAAAAATAAAAAATAAAAAATAAAATAAAATAAAAGAATAAAAGAGAGAAGTTAAACCAAGGAAGTTCTTCTGGAAGGAATCTTAAAGGAAATAATGAATATGACCTAGAAAGACATGCCAGGAAGCATAAAGAAAAGCAAGAAGAAATGAATGAACAAGTCACAATGAAGAGGTGATACAGAGCCAGTGGACAAGACAACAAAAAATAAAAACAGAAAGAGGGCTAGGAGACCTCTGTCTCAACTAACAGGCTAAGAAGCTTACTTTTATATCCTCAGGATCTACTGATAAGTTAGCATCAGGGAAATGACATGCTGAAAACACTATCAGACGAGGAGTATTCTAATTGCTGTGTAAGATAATGTAGAAAGCAGGATAATTCATCTGAGAATGGGAAAACAAGTGCTGGAGGTGAACATGTAGAAGGCAGGAGGCA